TTTTACCTTTCATTTGCTTTTGGTTTAATCCCATTCCCTTTTGCACTGTTGCACTGTGTTATTAATAAACTATTCGGCAGCGTATAAGCTCAATGTGTAGTTCAGCAACTATGTCCGTAAAGTGGACAGTTTGACAGATGACTTTTCGTTGTGGTGCCACCTGACGGAAAAATAGTAAAATCTCTTCTCCCGGAGGACTCGATTTTGATTGTTATAATGTCATCATAACTCTTATTTAATAAACAACCTATGGTAAAATGTTGAATAATTGCTTAGCAAGCAATTATTTTCGTGATTTTTTGCCCTAAATTTCGATTTCCGACGAAACGACTCGGGTAACTTTGCTATAAACGGGTGTTTGAGCTTATTTTAATATATATTTTCCAAATTTGTTATAAAAAACGTGGTGCTAATCCGGTCAATATAGACTGGTTTCAGGCCTACCGTGATGCATTTTTTATGAAATTATTTTTTTATTAACTTTTTTTTATGAAATTATTTTTTTATCAACTTATTTTTTTATCAAATTATTATCTTATCAAATTATTTTTTTATGAAATTATTTTTTATCAACTATGATTATTTGAAAATTTAATTTAGTTTAAAATTCGCATCATCCATGGACATACAGTAGAAACCGTCAATATATGAACGTGACTCATCGGGTGCCGAACATATCTCAGACATGCTAGCAGTAATGTTTTACTTGTCTTGTACATTCGATGCAGCGGTAAATGTACTCACACGTAGGTTTTTAAGCATCCGGTCTAAAATGCGCCATCTGTGATGTAAAACTGCCTAGGTGTTGGACAAAGATGGACATATGACGCTTGTGTCCTAGCTTGTTACTTAATTTTATTGGAAGTCAGTAGAGTTCGTGTTTTAGGAATTTATTTTATTTTATTACATAGTAAGGCAACCAACTTTACCGTCGGCCATTTGTTTTTATATGTCATATGATCTTTGTTTTTGCATATCTTGTTTCTACTGTGTGTTTACGGATTAATAATCGTTTTAAACGTTGTAGTGGCAGTGGTTTATATTATGTAACACAGGTAGATGTCGTATAAAAATCCTTACCTAGAAATTCTACGCTAGAATACAAAAATATTTTTATTATACATATAAATTTTGTACTAGTATTAGTTTAATACATTCTGAAGAAGCTACTGTGTAGCGAAACAATTGTCAATATTTAATAAATTTCGTGAAACTAACGCAAGTTGTTTTTATATCCACACAATTTAAATATCTTTCACTTTGTACCTGACCTGCGTAAACATTTTTGTTTTTTGTCACCAATTCTGAAATATTTGCGTTTACAGTTAAAAGAATAGTATATTCTGTAACAAGTTTGACGGTTTCACGAGAGGGGAATATGCAATTCCAAACGTGTTTCAGACTTATGTTCTGTGTTTCAGACTATACTAAGAATTTAATTGGAAGAAAGTGAGGTTGGGTCGGTCTAAAAATTTGTTATTAAAATCAGAGATGTCGCCACAAGTGTACGTTCTGTAATCAGATGATAGAATATTTCATTAAAGTTAAAAGAAAAGTTTATTTATTAATTAGTTTCTAAGAAAATTACAGTTTATTTAATTATCGTAGATGTTAATTATGTTAGATGTTAATTATTTAACTTTAAAAGCAAATATATCATAAGTATAGCAACCAACATTACACTAAAATTTTTTTACAAACGAGACTGCACTGGACCGTGACCTTCGATAGATTGCTTCGTACGAATGTGTCGGATGAGTCACGTTCATATATTGACGGTTTCTACTGTATTAATATGTCTATGATATCATATATTTTTAATCCCCCACTTATGAACTGACTTTGCGCATAAGGTAATACAAAATAATTTCATAAAAAAATAAGTTGATAAAAAATTATTTCATAAAATATTAATTTGATAAAAAAATAATTTAATACAAAAATAATTTGATAAAGAAATAATTTGATAAAAAAATAATTTGCAAACCATGGTTAATAATGCAAATAATTAATTATTTATAAAACAAAATAAGTTTTCTTACTACCTCGACTCAAAATACGTTGTTTCGTCCCCGATTTCACGGCAGAAAGTTTACGTTTCTTGCATTGGTCAAGCTATACGCGCACACTCTAATAGCGGGAGTAAAAATTTTTTAGTCGTGTGCTAACATTGAAATTTCGTACTGCCAACATGAGAAACACAAAAATATGACAGTTTTAAACCATAATTTTGCAATTATAACAACAAATAAACAATTTATGTTTTTACTTTTTTACTTTTTATGTTGTTTTAATTGTTTAATGGTACTTTTATTTGTTATAAAGTAGTAATTTGTTAATTAAAATACAACCTTTTATTTTTACTGTATTGGCACCGCTGAATTACCATGACAACGCTACAGTTTGATTGATTTTGAATGTAAACGTCAGAATTAAATTAAACGTCAGATTTTAATTTTGACAAAAGTTTTTTTTATATACATTTAATTTTTTCCCGTATTTTCTGCGGGGTAGCAAGAAAAATAGTATACACTACACGGGCAGAAAGTGTGAGAGCCCTGCACTGCGCGCCATGATGCCCTCGGCTTCGCCTCGGGCATCATGGCGCGCAGTGCAGGAATCTCACACTTTCTGCCCTTGTAGTGTAATATACTATTTCTTACTACCTCGACTCAAAATACGTTGTTTCGTCCCCGATTTCACGGCAGAAAGTTTACGTTTCTTGCATTGGTCAAGCTATACGCGCACACTCTAATAGCGGGAGTAAAAATTTTTTAGTCGTGTGCTTAACATTCAAATTTCGTACTGCCAACATGAGAAACACAAAAATATGACAGTTTAAACCATAATTTTGCAATTTTAACAACAAATAAACAATTTATGTTTTTACTTTTTTACTTTTTATGTTGTTTTAAGTGTTTAATGGTACTTTTATTTGTTATAAAGTAGTAATTTGTTAATTAAAATACAACCTTTTATTTTTACTGTATTGGCACCGCTGAATTACCATGACAACGCTACAGTTTGATTGATTTTGAATGTAAACGTCAGAATTAATTAAACGTCAGAAAAATTAAAAAATTTTGACACAAGTTTTTTTATATACATTTAATTTTTTCCCGTATTTTCTGCGGGGGTAGCAAGAAAAATAGTATACACTACACGGGCAGAAAGTGTGAGAGCCCTGAATCTCACACTTTCTGCCCTTGTAGTGTAATATACTATTTTGCACTTTTAATTTTGACACAAATGGCGCCTCATAATAAGGGGTCATTTTTACCTACTTCGTTACTGCTTGTTTAATTTGTACAAAATTTTCAGGGTATACTGACAAAAATACAGTCTTAAAAAGCATATTTTTTAATTACTTTAAAATAATTCCCTAAAAGTTATTTTTCAAAGGTTATTTTTATACAAAATTTCATAAAGGCGTTTTAGAGTTAATTTTTTTAGCTATTATGCGTTCAAATGTTATTACCATAATCTACTTTCAAAATAATTTAAATTTAAACAGTTCTAACAGTTTTTTGCGGTTTTCTTAAAACTATAATATAGTATAGTTTTAGTGGGGCTATAGTGGGACATTGCCGTCTTTGATTTTATACTTCCTCATCGGTTATTTGAAAAACAATATAAATTTATATCGTCTTTTTTACTGTACTTTAAAACTATCATAAATAATATGGATAATCAATAGGAAAAACCTTAAATTTTTTTGTATCGTTAAAATTGTTAAAAATTGGTAAAATAAAAAAAATTATCACGTTACAACGAACGCGCGCGCCATGATTGTCTGCCACGTCATTATATTAGGTATATATTTATATATTATATAATCTTAGGTTGCAAGTAACTTAATTTAGTGTACTTATGTATAACAAAGGTTTTTAAAGGCCAATGTCGATAATATACCTGGGGTAGATATATTTATTTACAGATTTCCTTAAAAATGACTCAGTTTAATTCATCATAAATTTAAGATGCTAGAGCATTATTGTAAGTTTAAAAAATAATAATAATGTAAATGTAGATAAGAAATAACAGATTTTTAATTAAATGTCGGCGTGTCATCGGTACCAGGTTCAAAAATTTATTTTTAATTTGATATAACTTTTAAATTATAATGAACAAAATAATTATAACAATAGTTTTATTATAAAAATTACTAATTATAAATATATCGGTACCAGGTTCAAAAATTTATTTTTAATTTGATATAACTTTTAAATTATAATGAACAAAATAATTATAACAATAGTTTTATTATAAAAATTACTTATTATCTTTTTATTTACGACAAACAAAAATTTCTTTTAAACCCCAATTTAAAAAAGATGTTTAGCTTTGTAGGTACAACAAATTAGGGCAAAGTCAATTTATTAATTATCAGTTATCAATTCACTTGTTTAGTGATACCAGGCGTGCATCAACCTTAATTGTTATAATTTATTTTAAAATAATTATATTTACTAATAAAATAAATAATATATAATAATATTTTGAATATCAAAGAGATAAAAACATTGTTTTTTAATCTCCCTAACAAACCCAATCTGGGAAAAAATGATTCTTTGTTTCATTTTACATTTTATCTCATTTTATTTCTGTCCTTACTAAACACCCTATTTAGATGCATAATAATAAAAAACGTATTTTAAAACCAAATGCTAATAAAATAATAAAAGAGAAGATGCGAGAAAAATGTTCTCGCATCCTTCTTAAACAATCATATTAGGTACCCATTGTGAGTTGATTATCTTATAAAGCAGAGTCAATTTGGCAAAAGCAATAATCTGTGCACACAATCACAATAAAAACAAATTCATTTTAATAAAAATATTTTTTGCTTACATATATGTATACAAATTTCCTTTGTTGTTTCATGTTGAATTACGTTTTTATTAAATTACTATTCGTATTATTTTAAGTATTCACTTATTCAAAATTTAGACTTATAATTATTATATTTTTGTTATAATTATTTTAACCATAAAACTTACCGAATTATTAATAAACATAAAATTAACCACAATAATCATAAACGCAACAGACTTCATTTTAAAATAAGCTCTTTTAAATTTATATTGCATGTAAGTTTATAAGATTAGTAATTATTGTCATAAAAAATTAAGATAAAATTAAAGCCGCATATATCCTGTGAAAATATTAAGAATTTAATCACATTTAAAGCCACCGCAATAAATATGAAATGTGAGCATGGTTTACGCAAAATGAAAATTTACTTTAATTCAATTAAAATTCAAATTGATAAAATCACGTTAATGGTTTCCTATAGCAAATAAAAAGTACGTACCTATACGTATTTTTATTTTTGACATTTTTTAAAGTAGTGACTAAATTATGGAGTACCTACTTACAATTTATTTAATTTTACAAAAAAAAATAATTTCAAAAATTAAATACTTCAGTAGCTTCTTTTAGCCATCACTTAATATTTTATTATTAATTGTACCTCCAACAATCAAAATAAAAAAGGTTCCTAAATATTGCATTTTTTATTTAAAACAACAAAAACAGGACTGTTCAACAATACTTATTTTTTACTTGCGAAAATCCAAGAAGAACTAAATATACTAAATGACCCAGATAGCACAAAGGTATACTATGGACGTCCAATGGACGTATGCTCGTGGACGTCTGTATGTACATAGGATGTCCATTTTTTTCTATGGACGTCCCATGGACATCCGTTTAGAGTCCAGATGTCACAACTTTGGACATCCATAAGTCGTCCACCGATGGACGTCTATAAGGTGTTTAAACCATTCCTCCAGCATCCAGGACCTGCTTTTTTGCTTACTTTAACTGTTTTTTGCGACTGTATTTTCATTGCGATGTTGCAGAAAATTTTCTACAACATGACTGAAATGCCTTTTGTCTGGCTCAGTAACAATCCCACTAGGAATATAAATATTCTAAAAGTTGTTAAAAGTTACAACATTCAATGTTAAACATTTCAGGAAATCCTTGTATTCGAATATTACATTTGCAATACTACAAGTGTTTAACATTTCATTGATAGCTTAAGTCCTTTATAGCCCGCGCTTGCTTGAATGTCAGTGAGATTGATCATAACTGTTGTTATGCAGCCAACAATACGTTTTAACTACATTTCCGTAATAATAATTATGGACGTAAAATGGACACTATATGGACGTCCATTAAAATCGTACAAAGGATGTAAATATATGGACGTACATAGTACATCCATTTTTAGTCCGTGGACCAATGTACTTAAAATGGATCTTAAACGGACGTCCATTGGACGAATGGTGCTATCTGGGGAATACTATAGTAATATACTAAATAAATACTATAGTACACACTTCTGCCAAAACGCATGCCGGACTGACTAGATAAAATTAGTGTATTACCAAAGTGAGTGAATGCGTAATACATTTCGAGATAAACTCAAAAAAATAATGCCATAGCTAGTTTTGCTGTAAAAATTTGACAATTTTTTTTTAGATATTTGTACTAGTTTCCGAACGCAGTATATTGCACTGTTTTTTAACTTATTTTCGATAAATAGTCCTAAAAATTTAATATCATATTTTGGATCACAGAAAAATTGCTTGTAATAATATTATTAAGTCTTTTTAAAATTTAATGAAAGTTTTTCCACTCTTTAACGATTGTTAATTTACAGTTAATTTTTAACTATACTAAAGAGTATCACTGGCATAAAGGCACATATTACAGTGTGGAACGTTTGCTGGTACATCATTAATGTAAATAATTAACAGGATGGGAACTAATATTGACCCTTGGGGAACTCCATGGTGGACTAAATCTTCTTTGGAATATTTATTCTTCCATTTTACAATTTGGTATCTACCTGCAAGATATGATTTAAATAATTGTTGACATTGGCCTCTAATACAATATTTGTATAATTTGTCTAATAAAAATTCGTGACTAACAGAATCAAACGCTTAGATCACAACAAGCTATTTCAATATTAAAATATTCATCGTGTGCACTTAAAATTTTGGTTTATAATTTATTTATTGCTGTATCTACTCCCCTATTTGCTCTGTATACATGCTGTTGTAATTAAAAAAACCTTTTTTAAAATATTCCAATAGTCTTGATATTAATGCCCCCTCAAATATTTTGAAATTGTATGTAATACAGAAATTTGCCGATAATTATTGTTGCTTTTCAAATTTTTTTTGGGTATAATGGTACAACTTTTGAGTTGGTTTGGAAATACTCCTATATCAATGCACTTGTTAATTATTATGAAAATTGGTTTTGAAATATAGGCTGCAAAATTTTTGTATTAAATCCATATATATTTTGAGTCTCAGTCGTATATTCAACTGACTTATTCATTTTATTCCAAAGTTTTTTTGAGGTGTTTTTACAGGTGCTATTTTTTTTAGAGAATCATCAATAGAATATTTAAAAAAAATTATTTAAAAATATCTTATGTTTTTTTTTGGTTTCCCTATTTAAAACATTTCACATTGCCTTTTGGGGATTGACTAAGTTTTGTTTTTCCAAGTAGTTTTGATTTTTTATGTCTTTGTTAGTTTTTGAAAATAAATATTTTTATAAAATTTGTATTGTTTATAAGCATCACTTGTCTTTAATACCTTTGAAATTATACCCAGTGCACTCTCTAAAAATAAATTAGTCAAAAATGGCTAATTGTCATAGCGGAAAAGCCCATCCATCTAATTATTAGATTCTAATATGGAATTGACTATATATCAAAATCTGCTATACTTAATAACTTTTAATGGTTGGTTGTCTGTTAAATGTCCAAAATACCAATTGCTGTGGACTACAGTTATTAGTGGCTGCTTTTTCACTTTGAAAACTAGTCATTTTTGACTAATTTATTTTTAAAGAGCATGTAGTGTATTTCTTGTTGTTTTATTTAAAAAATTTCCACATTTAATTTTTTGTTAATTTTACAATTTTTTTTCTTTTTCGGGGAAGTTAACAAATATTAAAAATAGTTCATGAAATACATTCCTAGCCGTAAAATTATGAAATTCCATATTATATACATTTTGTAAAAAATGTAAAAAGAGGAAAGTATTTTTTATATGATCCAACTTTTTTGTCTAACTTTTATTACTGTTTTATACTTTTTTAATAAAAAAAAGATATGTTTTTTTCTTATATTTATTTTGATTCGTAAAAATATTGTCGATACACGTAGATGACCTATTAAAATCCCTATATAAAAGGCTCAATAAATACCATGTAAATGTTTCCAAATTATTGACCAGTTTACGTTTGACTGGAGAATATTTTAGTAAATCCACAATCCACACAACAAGGTCGGTTCGATCTCGTAGTAAAAATACTAAAATTCACTGCAACACTGCACATTATACAAGGGCGGCCATTTTTGCTGTTTACAATTCTTGTGCTTTGGGTTTGTACAGATTAATAATCGTTTTAAATATTGTGTTTCTTACAGAGAGACTTGCAAGCCTTAAAAGAGACCTCAAAGTGGTAAGAACAATCATTTTACTCCTCTTTTGTAAAAAATAAACCTTATTCTATCAGGGCTGTCAAATGTCAATTTGAAGGTTAATTTGTGGGTTATAAAATAAATGAGTAAATCAATAATAAAATCTCCTTTGCTGTCAAAATATTAATGTCATTGTTATGATAATGTTCAACTTTGGTTAACCGCTGCCAATTCTATATTTATTTCGCTTAATAATTTTTTAATTTCATGTCTTCGTTTACCAGTATAGCTGATTGTCCATGCATTGATTTTGTTCTGCAAAAATAGCTGCCAACATTAAAATTAGAGATCGTTAGATATTGTAGGTCTGTGGGTATGGCATCATTTTGTAACCAATGTTCTATCATACAATAGTATATTACACTACAAGGGCAGAAAGTGTGAGATTCCTGCACTGCGCGCCATGATGCCCGAGGCGAAGCCGAGGGCATCATGGCGCGCAGTTCAGGACTCTCACACTTTCTGCCCGTGTAGTGTATACTATTTTTCTTACTACCCTGCAGAAAATACGGGAAAAAATTAAATGTATATAAAAAAATTTGTGTCAAAATTAAAATCTGACGTTTAATTTAATTCTGACGTTTACATTCAAAATCAATCAAACTGTAGCGTTGTCATGGTAATTCAGCGGTGCCAATACAGTAAAAATAAAAGGTTGTATTTTAATTAACAAATTACTACTTTATAACAAATAAAAGTACCATTAAACACTTAAAACAACATAAAAAGTAAAAAAGTAAAAACATAAATTGTTTATTTGTTGTTATAATTGCAAAATTATGGTTTAAAACTGTCATATTTTTGTGTTTCTCATGTTGGCAGTACGAAATTTAAATGTTAAGCACGCGACTAAAAAATTTTTACTCCCGCTATTAGAGTGTGCGCGTATAGCTTGACCAATGCAAGAAACGTAAACTTTCTGCCGTGAAATCGGGGACGAAACAACGTATTTTGAGTCGAGGTAGTAAGAAAACAATTTTAATGTTTTGTTCTAATAAAATTTGACTAATTGCTTATACTTTTTTTATTTAAAAACTGTATATTTTTTATTTATTTATTTGATTGTGTATTACACTGTATTACAGTTTAACAGACCAGTTTTGTAACTGATACCGCCAAACCATTTTAATTTTTAACCATTCCAGTAACACTTCATAATATTTATTTCTATTAAATACTATATTTCTCCAACATGTATACAGTGTGTTATGTAATTAATGTTATATATAAAAATACTGAATACCTTTTGACATAAGGAGTAAAGGAAAAATATTTAAAAAAATATTTTTCCAAAGGTAAAGAAAAAATATGCATTAGAAGTTTTTTATATTTTTTGTGATACGCCACTGGTTACACACTTGGTTTATCTCTGTACACTTGTGTTCTGTGAGTACATAGATACCAACCAACAAAGTAGCTGCGCGTTGCCAGATGTAAAAAATTGTTACTAAAAATTTTCTTGCAAAAAATAAATAAAAATAAAAAAATACAAAAGTTTTATGCCCTTAAAGCTCTAATACCCTTCTGTATTTATTTATCATCCAGCTATTAG